ATATCATCGATCATTAACAAAATTATTCCATTTTATTAGTAGAAGTAGCAAGGCTAACATATCATCCCTTATATTACGGAAACTTCTATAGTAACTTCGATATATAGGCCAAATACTACCTATATGCTACTGAGAATATGCTAGAAAGTTTGAGCAAAAACATGAAATGGTGATCTACCAAAACACGCATAATATCGCTACTACATGTGATTTAATAGATCGTGACCCAGACTAGATTTGTTCATATGTTGAACCTTGTCTGACATTGCACAAAAAATTTGATTTACCATTATATATTAATTATACAGATCTACAATCAAAAAGTATTGGAGTACAAATTGCATAGGAAACACATATTGTGATATTAGTTATAAAGACTATATGGAACTTAAAAGCAGATCTGAAGCTAATATCTTCTACTTCTACTTCGAAAAAAGAAGTGATTAATCTTACAATGTTTTGAGATATTTTATATATTTGAATGTATCTTCTCCAAAATTATATGAATCTAGAGGGTTCCCATAATTTTATTCTTCAATATTTGACAATATTGCATTTCTAATTCTTTTACTAAAAACCATATTTTTATTTAGCATATACATTTCTACTTTTACGAGCTCATCAAATATTGTCAATACATTATTATATATGGGCTCAATTTCATTATCATTTATATCCGATCCTCTATAGCATCTGTCTAGTTTCTCTAATAAATCATAGTATTTCATATTAAAGTATTTTCGCCTCTTATAAAGTTCATGCCAAATTTCTTTATACCATATGTGATTAATATAAATACAGTTATTTAGATCTTCTAATAGCATTTTTTGGATGATTTTAGCGATAGTATCTGGAAGTGTAAGTGGGTTGAATATATGCATGTTATATTGTATATATCAAACGTGTGGGTTTTATTAACTAAAACTTTTTATTTAATATATCACTCAATTGTGATCTCAAGAATAGCATTAGAAAAACAGTAGACAACTACTCATTTTTTGCTATTTTTACTGTCTGTGTTAGTCAATGAATATATGTCTTATTTTTGAATATAAGTTTTGAAAATCGGCTATTATATTTTTTCTAATCTGCAAACAATTACTAATTTCTATCGTTTCCAGGTTAGGAGTCAGTTTTGGAATTTTTGTAAGTATTCTTGGGCTTAAGCGTCTAGAACCTCTTATTGCAAGTGATTTTAAATTGGGACACTCGACTAAAAGTGCTTCTAAATTTTTATTGTTAATTATACGCGACCCACAATTTTCAAAACTTAGCTGTTGTAAATTTGCGCATGCCTTACACACTTCAGAAATGTATACATCCGGTCCTATATTTATTGTTCCAATAAATTTCAGAGATAATACTTGTTCACATGATTTTGGCTTTGTATTTTTACTCAATGCATTAGTAAACTTGACTCTGGAAATACCTGTTAGAGTTATTTTATACCATATTAGTCTACTAGCATTGTAATACTATTGCTTATTAACCAATAAAAGTTTACTTATTTTTTCCCTATTTATGCTGTGGTATTGAAAAATTCTTTCAAATATTTCATTTGGCATTGCAGTTACATAACAGATGGTTGATTCTTTCAACTTCGTGGATGTGGTTAGGATTATTTCTTCAAAATTAGTCCACTCTAGTTGTATTGCATTCTTTATTGAGATATTACCTGCATTAACTATTTTTAACTCTCCTGCTTGTTTTCCAATCACCTAATCGCTAATTTTACCTGAAAGAATAAACCCATCTGTATGGACGTGCTTTATACGATCACCTAGTGATCTGATTTTTTCTGATACTGTTTTGCGTCCCTTTGCTAAAATAAAAGGTGCCATGCATCGATGAGGACCTGGTCTTCGTCTATCTAAATATAATCGTCCAGAGTGATACTAGCATATGCTTGGCAACTGTACCTGCCTGTCCGCCTTCATGCTTGATTTCTGTAAGATAACTTGCCCATTGATAGAAAATTTCATCTCCGCGCATAAGCTGATTTGGCCCAAATATTAAAGCATTAGGACTTTCAGAGGATAATTCTATGTGAAGACCTAGATCTATTGCCATTTGTATATCATGGTGAGTGTAATATCCCGCAGGATTATAATAAAAAGTTCTTGTGTATTTTTGACTTGCTGGCTGACCTCCTATGAAAATATAATAAATTCTGTATTTTAGATTAAAGTTGATAGGATTAATGCTAATATGTGTAAAAGTTTTAAATTCTCCTGGACCTATTGGCCAGCATGTACTCCTATAAGCTAAGATGTGCAGGTAATATTCATTGAAATCTAACTCGGTTGCAATTCCTTCATATGGCTCGGCCCACGTTAAACCTCCTATATATGCTAATCTTATCCACTGGTCTTCTTCTGGTGATAAGTCTTCAGTTTTTCTAGGACATCTAGCTACATCTTGAAAGAAGCGCAGACTTGCTATTGTATACGTACCAGTTTTTCTTAAGTCTATCTGCCCATCATTTCACCAAAAGATTGCATTGGCTTCATCATTATAACGAATATGAGCCTCTTGAAGTGTTTCATTTAGATTAGCTTTGATTATGAACCAGTCTTGTGATAAATCACAGAAGTCATTTTCGGAACCAATCTATTGTGTAAACCCATCATAGAACTCGATATGCAAATCCTGCTTTTTCTAGAATAGAAATCTTCGGATAGCTGAATACCATCTTGTATCAGTATTTTGGTAAGCTAAAGCGGTCTCATAGTTGCTTTCCCCTCTTCCGACCCTTCTTCTGGTTCTGGTAGCTCGGAAGGTTCAGGTAACTCAGGTGGCGTTGGGTCTTCCCAGCTTGGTAAGAGATTTCTAAACAGTTGTCCTAATACACTGGTAATAGTACTAAGTATTCCACTCATGTTTTTCTAAAGATTATATATGGTTACAAAAAGTTTAAAATAAAAATTAATTTATTCGGATAATTATAGTTACATATTTATTCAAAAAACAAACTAATATGAGATTTTATAAATGTCCATATATTCTTAGGTCTGGAGAAGTATGCAATGAGGGGTGCTATCGAGAAGAAGGGTGTAAAGTTCATTAGAAATTTCCTAATCGAGTTCCCTGTATAGAATGCGGAAAATTAACTTCCTCTATTTATAGTGCTTGTAGGAAACATGCAGGTAAATATCACATTCGAGATTTTTATCAGCGTCAAAAGCTTGCAAAAATTCAGGCAAATGATGGTCTAGTGATGGGCTAGTGCTAGAGATATTTCCAGAACCCAAAATGTATACATTTATATCACATTATTTTTTACCTTGAGGTAAAAATTATGATCCTATTTGCTTATAATATTAGCATTCATTATATGCTTTTTAGTTTGTTTATATGTGCTTTGCTTTGCTTCGCACAAAGGCTTCGCTTTGCTCCGCCTATAGTAAACCATGTATTGCATTCATTATATGCTTTATGGTTTGTTTACATGTACTTTGCTTTGCTTCGCACAAAGGCTTTGCTTTGCTCTGCCTATAGTAAACCTTGTCTTGCATTTATGATTGCTTTTGAATATGTCTCATTTATTAGCATACACTAGAATAGTAGCATATAGGTTGAAAAAATATAGCATCCATATTCACTTCACCCTAAAGGGCTTGCTCATGTTCCTGCTATATTTTTTCTTCCAAGGGTATCCGTATCGGCCTAAAGGGTTTATGCTCCTGCCTCTTCTTCAGCTACCTATATAGTATGCTATTAGAAGGTGATTTTTTGATATCTAGAGCAACCTTCTGGGTTCATTTAGAGGTCAGAAAGAATTATTGAAAAAACTTGTATTCTACATAAAAAACAATCTAACCAGAAATGAATCTATAGCTAATAACTCCGAATTTAGAGAATTTTTAATCCAAGTAGCATATTTTAAAACTTTGTATATAAAAAATCGATCAGCTATTATCATCCAGCAAGTATATTATTTATAGAAAAAATGAATAAATTCAGCTATAATAATCTAGCAAGTAGTGAAGAAATAGCTTTATCAACCAGGTGAACCATTAATGAAATATGCTCAAGATCAGTTTTATCAAAATGCTAATAAACTTGAAAATTTAAGATAATTCAGAAAATTTTTAACACAGGTAAAAAAGTGTCGATATAAAATAAAAATCTATGAAGTGTATGCCCCTTTTTCTTCACAATTGCTATTAAAGATCTAATGATCCTGGTTTATACTAATTAATTCGTGAATGAATGAATCGCCAAATCTGAAATTAGTATCTAAAATTATTTTTTTAGTCATAAAGAATATACTATCCCTTAGATTGTAACACAGGCAAATTTGCCTGCATATTTTAAAATTTTTAATAAAATTTTAAATATT